CTGAGGCGGGCGAGGGGAAGATGCGGACGAGCGGGGGAGGAGGAGGGAGCCAGGGAGGAGGCGGGAAGGGAGGAGGGGGAGAGGAGGCGGGAGCGAGGAGGAGGAAACGAGGAGAAGGCAGGAGGGCGGGAGGAACGAACGGGAGTGCGGAGGAGGCCCGGGGGCAAGAGGGAGCGACGAGGAGGCAGAAGTGGTGGACGACGGCGGCGGCGACGAGAAGGGCTTCGTCCTCTGAGAGACCAGCTGGCAGGACCGAGGAGGCGACAGCCTAACTCGACAGCTGGGCCAGGCCCGCGGGCAGCTCCATCACCTGCACGCAGTCCACGGGCAGCGGCGCGGCGCCCCGGCACCGCAGCTCGAGCGCGCCGCTGGCAGGGTCCACAGAGTACCGCGCGACCGCCCTGCCCCCCTGCAGACCGACGAACAGACCGCGGGGATGAGGAGGAGGAGCTTCCCTGACACCCTCGCGTCGCGAACAAAAATCACGGCGTAAGGTGTTTGCCGATGTTCAGCCTCTGGGGGCCCTCGCTGGGCCCCGGGACCGTCAAGAGACCACTCAGGCTGAAAAACAGGTCCCGGGGAAGAGGTCCAAACCTCTGGGAGTCCACGTCGTGCAAAAAGCACGACGTCGGAGGCCTGGCTACGTGTCCGACCGAGGACCCACTGCTAACCATCGAACGTGGGCGCTCCCGGCGCTTTACTGACGGTCTCTCCCGGCGGTGCTTCAGTACAAGTGCGCCAGAGAAGAGAGGCCAGGAATGGGGGGGTTGCATCACGGCCCGAGCCATATGCGCGGACGGGGGGGGGGGCCGAGAACGCATTGAAAGAAGAAAGGGGACCATGAAATCTGGAAGAGCTCATGGCCCTGGTAACGGTATTCAACCAACGCAGAACGCGCTCCCCTCCTGGACGCCCCCCGAGTTGACAAAGTGCCCATGATATATGTGTATGTATATATAAAGGGGCCATGGAATATATATATATATATACATATATATGTGTGTGTGCGTATATATATATATACACGCGCATATACATATATATAGATAGTATACACATACAGACATAAATATCACAAGGCTGCATTGGCGCTTCGCGCCATGCACCTTGGCTATGACGCGTCCGACATGCAGGCAAAACGAGAGAAAGATTGATCAATCAAAAGAGCGATCGAAGTTGCAGTGCTCGCGAGTACCGTTATCATAGATTATATATTGGTGTTGCTTCTCCTTCCCTCATGTGTCCTCTTCCTCTTCCTCTTCCTCTTCTTCCTCTTCCTCTCCCTCTTCCCCGTTCTCGCCTGATTTGCTCCGCGACCCTTTTCCCCGTCGTCCTCCAATGTGTTTGCTGAGGCTCCTCCGAGGCGAGCTTCTGGAGGACCTCGCGAAAGCTTTTTAGGGGATCCTTGGGCGTCTCTGAAGACGTCCCTGGTGCATGTTGGCGGCCTCCCATGGGGCTCTCGGGCCTCGGGTCACGGCTTGAATGCTTCAGCAGGGCGTCTTAGGGACAACGTTGGGGCTGTCACGGGGCACTCTGTGGGCAGTTTCTGAGCCCTCTGGGCCGTCTTGGGGTTTTCTTCGAGTGTCAGGAAGCTTTGTGTTGGTCGTCTTGGAGCGGTTTTCAGTGCCTCTCGGGCGTTTTCGGGCGCTCGGAAAACCGAATAGCCGAGTAGCTCAACATCACACAAAAACCAACAAGAAAATCCACCCTTTCTGCGTTTCGAAAGCCGTTTGGGGTGATGTTTGGGCCGTCTTCGGGCGTTCGGCGTGGGTCTGAAGCTCAAGCCGCTGGAGGCAATCTTGGACCGTCTTGGGGGTCTCTTGGGACCGCCGCCGACCCATGCACACGGCTTGGCAGGGACTTCCACAGGCCCAGAAATCTCGCGTGATTCTCTATGAGGGGCGCCCAGGAGCCCCAGACGCAGGGGATCCCGTTTCGGAGGCGGAGGGTCCGCAGGGGTTCAGATTATACACAGTCTGAAAATTTGAATGCACCCAAAAATATAGCACCCCGCAGATGCGGATAAGTGTGAGGGGGCGGTGGGGACGTTGGCAATCTGCGACACTATGAAGAAGCCAGCCGCAGGCGCCAAAGTCTCACAAATTATACAAAGAGCCCGCCGCAGGCGCCAATTCTTCGCCAAACCAATGTGGATCGGTCGCGGGTGGGTCGCGGGTGGGTCGCAGGGTGGGTCGCAAATGGGTCGCGGGTGGGTCGCGGGTGGGTCGCGGATGGGTCGCGGGGTGGGTCACGGATGCGTCGCAGGGTGGGTCGCGGGTGGGTCGCGGGATGCGTCGCGGGTGGGTCGCGGGTGGGTCGCGGGTGGGTTGCGGGGTGGGTCGCGGGTGGGTCGCGGGGTGGGTCGCGGGTGGGTCGCGGGTGGATCGCGGGTGGGTCGCGGGGTGGGTCGCGGGCGGGTCGCGGGTGGGTCGCGGGTGGGTCGCGGGGCGGGTAGCGGGTGTTTTTTTTTGCGCCCGGACAGAACACCTGTGCGGCACAACCCGAAGGGAGGTGCCCAAGGTGCCTGCATGAATTCACATGCAGTCGGACCTCGCAACCTGCGTCGTCACATCTACGCCGCCGTTGCGCCGCCGTTGCGAGGTGCCTCGAGATGCCACCCCGAGACACGGCCACCGGCACCACCCCCACTTGGCCGCCGGCCTCAAGCAGCGGAGGCCCCGCTGCCCAAGGACTGAAGTTCCCGTGCCCCCCACGTCGGGGGACCCCTTCGGATAACCCCATCGGGCCTCTCAAGGGTGGCACGGCGGGCCCGCACCTCCTGTGGCTGGCCAACCACAGGGCAAGAGTCTCTCCCACAACCCCGTCGAGCTGTGGCGACGATCGGGCTGCCAACCCGCCTGTCTTCCTGGGACGCCACGAGGGCACCCAGCGGCACATGTGCCGTCGCGGGTGGGTCGCGGGTTGGGTCGCGGGTGGGTCGCGCGGGTTGGGTCGCGGGGTGGGTCGCGGGGTGGGTCACGGGGTGGGTCGCGGGGTGGGTCGCGGGTGGGTCGCGGGGGGGACGACAACAACAAACAACACCAACACCAACACCAACACCAACACCAACAACAACAACAACAACAACAACAAGAACAGGAACGAGGCGCAGTTGACCGGCCCGTCCAGTGGGGAGCTCCACAGCGCCTCCTCCCCTAGGGACAAGGCCGACTTGACCGGCCCGGGGGCAACCGCGGGACCCCAGCAACCCCAGCAACCCCAGCAACCCCAGCAACCCCCAGCAACCCCGAAAGCTTACCTCCACAGACCAAGCTCTCAACGCTACGTCCTCCATGCGGATTCTGACAGCACGACGCGTGTGCGCAACGGTGCAGCGAGCTCTTGAGGAATCCTATAGGATCCTCGAGAAATCCTAAGGGATCCTATAGGAAATCCTATAGGATCCCTTAGGAATACTATAGGATTCCTTAGGAATCCTATAGGAATCCTATAGGATCCCTTTGGAATCCTATGGGATTCCTTAGGAATCCTATAGGAATCCTATAGGATCCCTTAGGAATCCTATGGGATTCCTTAGGAATCCTATGGAATCCTATAGGAATCCTTAGGAATCCTATAGGATCCTTAGGAATCCTATGGGATTCCTTAGGAATCCTATGGGATTCCTTAGGAATCCTATAGGAATCCTATAGGATCCCTTAGGAATCCTATGGGATCCCTTAGGAATCCTATGGAAGGAATCCTAGAGGATCCCTTAGGAATCCTATAGGATTCCTTAGGAACCCTGTGGGATCCCTTAGGAATCCTATGGAATCCCTTAGGAATCCTATAGGATCCCTGATTTCGGACCGCGGGTCGATTTCCGTGAGTCCTGGGGCCCGAAGAAAAAATACCCTGGGCGCATTCAACCATGCACGCCCACGCTGGAACGCAAGGAGGAGGAGACCCAGGAGCAACAACAACAACAACAGCTTTGCCCAAGGTGTTCGCGGTGGGGTTCGCCCAAGAGGCCTGGGGCAGAGTGGCTACGATGTTAGCCAGCGTGGGCCCAAACCGGCGAATCCCACCAGCACTTTAGGGCGTGAGTGGTCTAAGGAGCTCGTTCTGCTAAACCCCCTTTTTCCCCTTCGGGGAGGGGGTTCCCCCTCCCCCTACCCCCTCCCCCTGGACCTGGAGGGAGGGTGCCGCGAGCGGTTGGAGCGTCCAAGATGGCCCAAGATGGCTCCAAGCGGGTCCCAGAGAGCCCAAGATGGTCTCCAAGATCGCGCAAGATATCCCAAGATGGTTCAAGATAGCTATCAACATGCATCCAAGAGCTCTGGAGACCGCCCCAGGACGGCTCCAAGTGCCTTTCGAGCCCTCCAAGGAAGCCCTCAAGAGGCCAAAATCATTCAAATCCTGTATGTTTTTCCGATGTTTTTTGCATTGTCACCCTTTCGCGCCCGATGGCCTCTTGAGGCCTCAAGATGGCTTCTGGATGGCCCAAGAGGGCCCCAAAAGGGGCCCAGGGGGGCCCCAAGACCGCCCCAAGAACACCCAAGACCGCTCCAAGAGCGGCCCACGAGGGCCCCAAGAGGTTCATTTTCGGGCCCCGACGGGGGGACGCAGTTAAGGACCCCCCCGTCCCCGACTCGACCATGTCCTATTGAATTCCGATTCAAAAACAAATAAATGATTAAGGAATTCCTCCGGCGGCTGGGACTCGACCATTTCCTATCGAATTCCTATTTCAGCGTTCCGAAGGATCCAACCTGTTTATACTAAGTCCCCGCGCAGGTCACTCCGATGCCCCCCCCCCCCCCAGCAGCCCTCGAAAGTGGCGACAGTTTCGCAGACCGCAGCCCCCCCAGGGATGGCGAAGTCAAATCTGTAGGGTCCCTTGGGAATCCTATGGGGTCCCTGAGGAATCCTATGGGTTCCCTTAGGAATCCCACTGGGGATCCTATAGGAATCCTGTTGGAATCCTATAGTAATCCTATGGGATCCCTTAGGAATCCTATGGGATCCCTTAGGAATCCGATGGGATCCCTCAAGAATCC